AGACTCCATCCGCCAGGCACCTTTAGTCATCTGGACGCAACCATCCCGCGTCTTGCTTTGCCCAATCAATGCAGCCGCAGTTTGCTGTAAGCCCTAGGAAGATCCAGCACCTGTCACTGTCTCCCCCCATGGTTGGGATACAGACTCTTCTCAACCCCCCACAAGACATATCCGTCCACTTCTGACGACGGCCGATTCCCCAGGCTAGCTGCGCTCGCTTGGATCAGGTCATGGGCACTTGAAGGCAGCCCAAGTCAAGATGCCGTGGGGGACAATAAGCCAAAGAAGAGAACGAGAGTCAAGTACGTACCTCGAACAGCAACAAAGGACAAGGCGTCTCCTTGGGCGACGGAGGGGGTACAGAAACAGTACCTGCACGGTACGGCACGGCCCAGCGCGGGGCAGAACGGGAAGGGGGGAGGACAAAGAAGAGGGAAATGGTGGTGTTTGCCGCAGCAGAAGATTGGCTGCTTCGATGATGCGGTTGTTGCGTGTGCGACTTTGGCTGTCTTGCCCTGGCTGTGGTGTCGACTGATGTTTGCGAAAAGAGAAAAAAGCAGACCAGGTCCCGAAAGGAAAGAGAGCGAGCTTCGAGGTCTACCATAGTTGTGTCAGTGACCCCATTCGACTGCGCATGTTTGCGATGCACCGCAAATGGGTTCGGCATGGGCCGGCGCGGAAGGGAGTGTCATTGTACCTCTTTAGGTCCGGCGGCTGAAGATTGCAGTCGACGAAGCGCCAAAGTCAAAAGGCTGTTAGACGTTAGCTGAGTGGTATGGTGTGTGTCTGTCCTGCGTGTCGGTCGCGACCGTTTGTTGTCTGGTGTCTGCAAGAAACAGGAGACAGAAAAAGGTGAGAGAGAAGACAGCAAAGGGCGATCTGATCGATGGAGCAGCAGCATCCGACCTGACTACTAGCGCGCCAACCTCTGACCAACAGACCGATTCGGTCACGCCCGTCTCCAGCTGCGCGGAACCTGGAAGGGTTTGCAAGAAATGCGAGGCCGAAAAAAAACGGGCTGAGCGGGAACGTGGAGGTGGGTGGTGAGGAGGGAGGGCCCAGCACCGGCTTATGACGGATCGGTGCCGCAGCTTGCTGTTGGAACTTGGGTCACAGGCTCCATTGCTCCATGGCATGGCTCCATCAGCAGCAGGCGGCGCGAGGAGGGGGGGGGGGGGCGTCAGGGCGTCAGGGTGTCAGGGCGTCAGGGTGTGTTCGCTCTCTTCAGAAGATGGAGAATGGGAATTTTTAGGTAGGTAGGTACCGTATCGCGCACAGTGTGAACCGTGTGAACCGTGTGAACCGTGTGAACGGCCACCTCAGCCTGCCTTCAAGGGACCCTGGAAGATTCGTGCATCACCGGTCCCAGTAGCGGAGCTGGTGGCTCGGAGCGACCAGCGGGTGGAGCATGGGTGCGACTCCTGTTTGGGAGCAGGCGCGGGCCGTCGGGTCCCTGGACAGGCGGTTGATTGGCACAACCTCCAGTGTTCCCAAGAGCCCCAAGAAAACCCTAGCTCCATCTGCCCCATCTGCCTTCCGCGTTGCGTCGTTGATGATGCCACACGTTCCCGCAGCCAATCGTCCTTCCTTGCTCAAAGAACCCGCCCGGGCGGCCGGTCGCACTGGTCGCAGCTGGGCCGCAGGATCTGGGAGCCACAGCAAAGAGACCTTTTCCTCCCCCCCACCGGCGGAACATTTTAGTGTCGTCGTGTGTCTCTTCCATCATCACTGGTTTCTACCTACACTATATGGTGACTATGTTCTTCTAACCATTGCTGTTGCCTCGAGATCTTGTCATACGTGGTCACATTGCCGGGATATTCGTTTCGGTACCTGCCTCGGCCCTCGATGACATGGCGAGCACCCCAGGCGCTTTGCTTGCTCTCATATCTCGCATGCTGCGCCGTGCTTCGAGAAGCTCCGAGTTTCAACTGGTTGTGCCACATATAGGATGCCTGAGCTACACAAATAATCTCCTCGGGGGTTGGGGGCCAGTGGTGAGAATTCGAGAGATGTATGGACTGACAGTATTTCAAAGCAGTGGAACGACCGGATCTCTCTCATCTGAGGGGGCCAGCCGCAACCTGCAGCAACAGCTCGCCGGGTTTCCCTTCCTCGTCCCTCCTTTTCGAGAGGCATTCATGTGCTTTGGTCTGGGCCAATAAGCATTGCGCAAAACTGACAGGCGTACCCCATACTCGGCGGCGGCCTTCCCGGTGGCATGGAGCCCATGTCACCGGTACCAGGCTGATCACATCGCGCTGAGGCAGTGCACTGGGTAACATGTCAAACATCTAGAGGCGTGGCAGATACGCCATCTGATCCCGAGCCGTTGACAAGTCACAACAGGCTTGCCAGGAGAGATGGATAACCTATCAGTGTCTCGTCAGTTTGAGGCCTGGGCCCAGCACGGAATTCGGTGGGTATTCAGATGAAGCCTGAACGGTGTTTGTGTTTCTTAATCGACCGCAGATGACCGGTCCAAGAGCTCGAAATTTACATCATCTAGCTCCAAGGTTACATTTTCATAGCGCGTGGAACTGATTTAATTCCGAGGAGAGGAAAACGGGCAGGATGGCTTCACAAACCTTTGGCAGGGGACTGTACCCGGGAGGGGATGGTACGTACTACGAACTCAGCTGAGGTATTTGTAATACGTTGATGGCCAAAACCTATGACAGACACGTTGTCTTCAGACCTGGCGGTACGGTACCTACCATGAGGTATCTTGGACCCCAGTCGGCAGAACAGATCATCTGGTGTTATCCGCAGGGTCGGAGTGTGGACCGGCCCGTCAGCTGCAGTCATGTCAGAAACAAAGACGGTGCCGGACAATGCGAAAAAGTTTGCTGGGCAGAAGGACCCAGGAGACTTGACCAGCCGAACCGCCAAGGACGGCATGTAACTAGAGTGGTTTGCGGCACATGAGATCCGGCCATGATATCAATCAAAATATCCCGTCTCTGTTCGTTTTGGTTAAACAAGGAAACCATGCCCGAGTTTTGCCTACTGTTTGCGTGTAAGAAGACGGCTGGCCGGGACGGTATGGAAGAAGATGCCGGGAGCGTCTGAATAATCGAACCACCAGCATCACGAGGTTGCCAGCTATGTGTAAAACGTACGTGAGATTGAAAGGAACCATTTGCAGAAAAGACGAGCTGCCTTACATCCGGCTGCAGAAAACATCCAGCGTTGATACCAAGCTGCTCTCGGAGGGGATTCGCCGTTCGACCCTTTTCATATCGCACGGGATAAGGCTGGATGTGGACAGTCAGGGCATCCAGATTGGTCGAGGTGCATGAGCGCCGATTGGGAGTTGGTTGGGTGTCGGCAGCTCGATGGCAGCACGGCAGAACGGCAGGAATATTGAGTGACGGAGGCGAGCGGGCCTCGCAGATTTCGGGCCCTCCGTCGAGTATTATCGACGACCGAAGTGTTTCCAGCGGAGAAAAAGTATTCAAGCAGGTCGTTTGATCATTAGCTTCGGTTAGGGTGTCATCGGCGGTAACTAAACTTACACAAACAGTTAATATTTAACTGTGCGATTAGCGGCAACTGAATCTTTTTACTATTAAAATAACTAGCTAAATAAGCGCGAGCCTATATTTCTACGTTAATTAATTAAAAAAAAAACTATTAGAAGGCTCCTGAAATCTTTTAACAGAGTATCTCTACCTTGAAAGTTTTCAAGAGCCAACTAAATACCTACTTTTTTTAAAGCTTTTCAGCACTGTAAGCTACTATCAGCTATAGGCTTATTGGCTTTATAGGCTTTAGCTCAGTGCATCTAGTATTAGTAATATAATTAATACTACAAATAATTAGTATAGTTAGGTATAGTCTCACGTATTTCAGTGAAATATCCAGGCCTTTAGCAGGTAGTTCAGAGGTGGCCAGTGCGGCTGGCAAAAGTGGCCCGGGTTTGGGTAAAGTTCTTCAGTTCAGTTTTGGCCAAAAAATGGCAGCTGATCACACACCCTCAGCTCCTTCTCTCACTTGCACGTCAGGGCCCACCTCCTTCCTTTTCCCCTCCGAAAGCTATGACCCTTGCATTGCACCAATCACAGAACAGCACAGGCTAAGAGCACGCCCAGAACGGAAAGTGCTCATGGAGGGCGGGGGATGGGAACACAAGAGACGGAGGCAGGCAGGAGAGTAGGCAACACTGCATTTCATTCCTCTGCATCTCACACTCTGACTCGCATAATCGATCTCGCGAAGCAGCGGTCTCGAACAGGGACCAGTACGAGCGGGAAGCAGCAGCATCGAGCGTCGACAATACCTCCGCCGCGCCATCGCCATCTGGCTGGCTGTCTGTTGGTCTGTCACTGTCTTGAGCCACGCTGTCTCACGGACTTAGCTATCCACCCCCCTCCCCCCCTCCCTCACTCTCCCACCCAGACATCAACTGACCCTTCCGCAGCTTCCGGCCGGGCCAAGCACTGCTGATTAAAAACTCCCGCTCAGTGTGTCACTGTCGCCGTGGATCTTTAAGCGAACCGGGCCGACCGCCTCTGCAGCTCCAATACGCGACTTTGCCGCCGCCGTGTCCCGCTTCTTGATCAGATCTTACCATGGAACACGAGCGCTATGAAGGGGGCCCTGTGCCTGCCGCCCCAAGAGCCAAAAAAACCTTTGCCATGGCAAAACACTCACACGGACTAGCCCACAGCTACGCTAAGTTAGTGTGCGTGGTATCATCCATGCAGCAGGGATGGCTCCAAGATTTTTCTGCGAATGGCATGCTGTTGGCAAGTAAGCGTCGTGTGTGGAGGCAACAACAAGAAAACGAGAAGCGATCACGCTGCTGATGAGCAGGACAGATACAGGGTCATATCCCAGGCACCCGAATTGCCGTGGGTGGGGTGGGAAACAAATAACATGCATGTAACAATGGGACGGGCCAGTGGCAAGGGTGCGGTGTTCCGGCTGGCAAAAGACGGAGGGTGTGATATTGATGGTGGTTTGCTGTTGTAATGGATTGGACTGTCTTGAGAAAGTCCTCGGCGAGCAGCAAGGGAGATGGGAGAACACAAGGGCCGTGTCTGATGACGCGTGAGGAGCTGTTGCTCCCCAGCTTCGAGAAAAAAACGTCCATCGATCCGGAAACGTGTCGGCAGGGTTCGTGCTGGAGATCTATTGGACGTTCCCGTCCCAGCGTCCAGGACAGTGGGTTGAGTTGGCGGCAATCCAAGTCGGAGACTAGCGAAGCCCGCCCCACTGGAGTGCTGGATCACTCTCGGGCCTGTCCGCGGGACTCCAGCTCACAGCTCACAAAAGTCACAACCTCACGGCTCTGCCATTGCATTTTCCCGGCCTGCCGCCCGTTATGTTGTGGGTGAGTTGTGGGTCGCGCATCGGCCTTTGTGTCCGCTGCCCGCTGCTGACGGACGACAGTTGCAGGTATAGCCATGCGCTAGTATTGTGCTAACATGAGAGGGCCCTCGCATGGCATCCTTGCCCCCTCTTCGAGCCAGCCTTCCCGATCGCGGAGCACTGCTCTAATGGACCGATTGCCCCTCTCGTCCGCCTTCACCGTGGACGAGTGAGAAGAGCCAGAGGGCTTTCTGCTTCTGTCGACGTGCAGTTAGATCCAGGCCTACAGCTTCTCACATATACCCACCGAGAGTGCGAAGGGACGGACGAACTCGATGATGAGGTGGGAGTCGTCACGTAGCATCGCCGCGATTCTGAACCTCGACCCCACTGCATCACACCCTCCCGGGCCAAAGGTGATGGTGGAAGATAATGCTGGTGTGGTAAGACGGCTTGACACGGGAAACGATAGAATCGAGCGCCATACACAACTAACTGGTCATACTTGTTACACCGTCAACTTGTCAACGACCGGCACTTGTGTCCAGCAACCGAGCCCGACTTTGTTCCGGTGCTGTCGCTGCC